AAATAAACGTTCCAAAAAACCAATTATTAACTTTCACAACATTAACAAAACACAAAAAAGACCCACCTAAACTATACATGAATACATGAATGGAACACTTCTTTAGACCACAACCTCGGCAAAATTTTTAGGATTAACTTTAGACCCAAAACTGACGTGGGTAAAACATACAAATAATATATTGACAAAAATCTGGAAACGCATATATTATGCAAGAAGTCTAACAGGCAAAAACCAAGGAGCATCACCTGACAACATTATTAAAATATACAAAACATGTATACGTCCTGTAATAGAACACGCCTGCCCTGCATGGATAAACATAGCACAGAAACATATAAATAAACTACAATCTATACAAAACTCACTTATCACCACAGTATATAAAGTCCCCCGCAGTACCTCATCAAAATTCATGCACAATTATGCAAACATAGAAACAATAGCCGATAGACTCTTGCATAATACTCTAAATTATTTTGCAAAAAATTGGCAAAATAATGACCTACTCTGCGAACTTGATCGCTACTACATACATGATGGAAATAGACCTCTCACCTGTAAACATATAATTTCGAATTACTAGACTCTAAAACCCTACACTAGTTAGAATCTAAGAACAAAACATTTAATAGGGTATTTCACGTAAAATGCATTCGATTAGCCTCTAACTACTGAAATGTGTTGTGTGCATTATGGAACTGACTCTAGAGATATAGTGCAAAACATAGAATGTAACTGTCGATACCTACATGAACATTACCCTGAAAGGGGTCGAAGCAAGTGTGGTTTACTCCGACCCTCATGTTGTATCAACACCAACATTTACCGTTAGTAAATCACAGTCCGGAAAGGAGGAAGAGGTCACCATGAACCTGACCCTCCCTGGTCCATCATACGACCAAAATACCGATATTGGAGAGAGAGAGAGAGTATTAGAAAATACTATAGTATCTTTCAACTGAATTTTTGGAAGTATATATTTTTAATTTTGAATTTAGACTTATGGAAGATTGCAACAGAATATAAATGCCCTAATTATGTAATTCTTTATGTCTTGTTACTTAATGAGTATCTTATACTTATTTCATTTTACAAAGATTGCTATTAAATGTGTATGCGGTTGCTACGTATACGAAATAAGAAACAAATGCTTAGGGTTTTTTTTTCCTTTGTGGTTTGTATAAGACATCATTTTCATTTAAGGTAAATACGAGAATAAACAGAAAACCTTTATGTTTCAGATACTTTTGAATATCATATATAAAATTCATATCGGTAAATTTAAAACATTAAATCTCCTTAGGTTTGTTTGTTTGGAATTAAGCACAAAGCTACATAATGGGCTATATGTGCTCTGCCCACCACGGGTATCGAAACGCGGTTTCTAGCGTTGTAAGTCCGCAGACATACCCCTGTGCCACTAGGAGGGGGGGGGCAATCTTCTTAGGATAGCCTCTGAATTATGTGAAATCTATTTAGTATCGAACGAGTGATTTTTATATTCAATTTACACTATCGCTGCATTTAATTTATTAGACAGATTTTGAGAACTTACTTAATTTGAACTTTACTGAAAAAAATGTAAACTTGGATAAAGTCCACTTAATAATTTCCGATCGTACATAATATTATAAAAACATGCTGGATCACAGTCGTTTTGCCTTGTATTTGCGGCATAAGAGAAAAGACTGATCTATAGAATGAGAATGCGGACACTTGTGTCTTTTAATATTTCAGCTTATCAACAATATATAATATACCTATACAGCTGAATCCGCGAACATTTCACTTGATACTTTCAGTCTGAACGACACCTTATGCGACACATAGGTTAAAACAGCCAAGTCAAGGATCCCTTCCCAAGGTTCAGGTATAGCCATAATTAATTTAACACTACAGGCCATAGAGAAGACAACTAGTCGGCAGCACCCACCGCCTGCACGGCTATTCTTAATCAAATAGAGAATTAGCTATCGCGATGATAATGTTCCCACAAGTGAAAGTGCAGAGCGTGTTCAATATTATATCACAGTTCGAGCCTTGCATGTTCCAATCAACAGCCCGACCTTTTAACCACTTAGTCAACCCTGGTCTGCACATGTTCAATAAGATAGATGTATTCAATTAGCATGGAAGGGAGTGCTCCCAACTAGCTGCCTTCCCTCTGATCAAAAGTTCAAAATTAAGGACGCTTATATCTGAAGCATATGGGTCTGTAAACTGAAAGTTTAGTTCACGTGTGAATAAGATGCCGTTCAAATTGAAAATTCCAATTCTCTAACCCTTTACGATAAACTAACAGTCGACCCTGGTAGATTGTTTTGTCAACAGGTTTGCAGCGTATCGATGTTAACGCCAGAAGTGACTTCATTTCGATATTTTCACAACGCACATATGAGAATGATATTCTAATGTTTGCTCTAACTGATCGTTCGAAATATTTCAGCTTTCTATACAGGGCTCAGTTAACTTGATTAATATTGAAAATATCAACGTAAATGTCAGTTGCAGCCTATTTTCAATATACTATTGTTTCGTTCACATAAAGCTTACTGATAAAGAAAAACTTAATATAAACCATAGCTTAAACTTAATTAACCAATCACGTTAAAAACCTACGAAACATTAGGTCTTTCGGTAGGTAGACCTGTCTTCTTCAGGGTAAAGGATTTATTTTTAGTTTGATCATTGATCATTATCCAGTTAAGCCATCACTTCTCATTCGTAGCATAAAATCCTTTACCCCTGAATAAGATAGGTCCATCTGTCGAAAAAGCTAGGTTTTCATCAGTTTTTGAACTGTGATTTATCAAACTTTTTTGATCCTATATGTGTGTTACTATCATGAACATAGCATTAAAACACATTCCTTTCAAGATTCCTTTAAAAATCTTTTTGATACATTTGTCAAACCATTAGCTTTATCTTATAAGAACTATTATTATATGGACAGCTTAAATGTTTTATGATAAGCAAACAGGTACAAGAGCAAAGAAGCTATTTATCGTCTTGACAAAAGAAGGATTAATGACCTACTCGGTAACAACCTTGCTAAAATGTAAATATTTTATTGTTCTTTGCTATATCTATAGAAATACAAAGTATAAAATTATGAATTTTGTTTAATTTGTATACCGGAAGAGATCAGTATATTAACTTCTGCATGGATTTTAGATTGAAACGTATGCATTTGTATAAAAAGAAAAATCCATAATTAATGGCTATTTGAAAGATGACACCTCAAGTGAATGTAATTTATTTCCAAGAGGTTAATGACACTTCCAGTGAAATTATTTCAAATACATTTCAGTCAACTTAACAAGGATAAGGGAATCACATTAATCAATCTTATTATCAACTGTAGTTGAAGAGTGTGATCGATCTAACTTATAAACAGTTACTATGTTTATATATATATACACTAAAGAGCGTTACACAGAAGTAAAATATTAAGAGCTCTTCACAAAATGTTCTAAAACACTTGTTTACAATAGAGACATTTTTTCCTTTTATTACTCTTCATTTTTTTGAATTAATTGTAATTCTGTCTTCTATATAATTATTGAAGTTGTTGCAACATCCTCCGTTTTAATAATTAACGATTTTGTTTTTTTGAGCGAGGGACATGTAATCCTTTAATACTAATTTCCCTCTAGTAGTTTATATTGTTAAAACAGCGGAAGTCACGTGACTCTGGTAACACGTGATGAGATTCTAGAAGGATCATGACTTATCCTTTTAAGCGCGAGAGCGTTACAAAGTTATGGTGAATCCCACTATTAGTTGTTGAAAAACCAGCTCAAGAATTGTCGGTGGGTGATCTTGACTAGCTGCCTTCCCTCTAGCCAATCACTTCAAAATTAGAGACGACTAGAGCAGATAGCAACAAACGAATATATTTTATATTCCGTCGATCAAAACTATGATAACATGATATCATAAAATTATATGACATGAAGTAAACTAAGCAGACGAAACAAACAAACGAAAATTTATGTTCATAACATACCTATGAGACAACATGGCAGTCTTTTAAAACAGAACATATGATTCAATTATATATATATATATATATATATATGTTGTTTGTTATTACGCAAAAAGTTACAAATAGGCTATCTGTGCTCTTCCCACTGTAGGCATCGAAACCCGAATTTTAGCGTTATAAGCTCCCAGACGTACTGGGGGCATTTATATATGAAACAAATGTAAATGATGAATCAATATGATGGACGTTTTATGCATTTTCTGTAATTACGTAGCATGGTATGAAATAAAAAGTCCCAATGTAAATCACTTTTCACAAATTTTTATCTGAAGATTGAAAAACAAATTGGAAAGGAAGTGTTTTTGAATGACTGAAATAACTGAGTGGTAGGTCCGATGTCACTAAAGACGAAAACAGTAACTTTGTGGCATTGCGTAGTTTAAAGGATCTGTCCACCATGCATGGATGGGATATTAAATCCCACCCGTTCTCAGCTTTTTTACCGTCACTTTCAGAAGCAATAAATAAATAAATGAAATTTTAATATCAGAAGCTAAATCTCTGTTTTATTTTATTACAAGATACAGCTTTTGAAGTAAAAGCTGTAACTTGTAATAAAATAATACATAAACAGTAAGTAAACTCAAAACGAGACTATTAAATCTCTGTTTACATGTTTCTGGCGTCACGGGCTTTCAAGCTATATGTTATTTCCTTCTGGCTACTTGCCAGGTTCTCTTGATTAATGGGAGATTATATTTTCTCTTTTAACTAATGATAAACTTTTGTTGATTGAGTACAGATAAATTTTATTTTAACTTTGAAGAATTAAGTTGTCTTTTTCTTTATATCATTTCAAAAATATACAATTTAAGGACTGTAAAATAGTAATGTTTAATCTACACATTTTTTGTCCCTTTATTGTGTTTAACAGTCAAGAATTAAATAACAAAAGTTATCAATCTCTGGTATTCAAACATTTATTTTTTTGAAAGAAATTTATTATTAGACAATCGTAATACATCATCATCGATCATATCTTTAGATCATAAAACTGGTTTTACAACTGAAATATTTTGGGGTTCTTTTTATTAAGTGAAAATGAACGTTTAAAAAGACTGAAATTTCATTTTAAAAACAAAGAACTGACAACTCTTGATCTACACAAGTATGTTTGTTTCTGTTCTTTAAGAGCAAAGCTACACTGGACTATCTGTTGCGCCCACTGCGGGAATCGAAAATCGGATTTTAACGTTGCAAGTCCGTAGACTTACCGCTGTCCCACCAGAGGACATACAAATATAAAGTGTTTAATGGTACATAATATTAGTTTATACATGCTTGTAGTTTCTTTAAGCTTTGGTCCGAGAGTGATCCAGAAATTAGCCTGCCGAATCTTAACGTTGTAAGTTGTGTGACTTACCTCTGATCCACCGGGGGGCATTGTGGTTGTTTATATTAATTATTTTGTCGATATATATTTGACTTTCTTTTCAAATTTGTGATTCAGTATATTGAATATTTCGCCTTCATCTACATAGAAAAATTGACTTACTTTGAGATTTATTATTACAAGCAATTACTGTATTTTCTGGTGTCGTAAATATGAGTATCCTTAATTATAAAAATAAAGCTAGCCAGTATAATGTAAATATTGCTACAAACAACATAGTTTATGCTTGCAAACTAATTCATAATTTTTGAACAAAACATGATTCAAAGAAAATATTCCAATAAAGTTGTAAATTTAATCTATAACTGGAGATATTTTTAACAGATTTATTTTGTATCTAAAATCTTTCAGCAAGCTTTGTAGTCATTACATCTTAATATCAAGTTTAATATTTCAAAAAACAACCAGTAGTTTTATGACATTTGTACTATTTCAAAATAAATATAATTCCATTATATATACTTGACAAAACTTTATTTGAAATAGAAAAAAAGTGAATTGGAAATATTCAAAATATTAAAAGAGCAAAATTTACATACTTGTTTTTCTCCTTTGATAGATAAAATCAACAATAATTCACGAAAATCAAGTTAATATTAAACATCTAAACGTTACAGTATTCTACAGTCGTTGTCTTTTTTTCTTTTTCTTTTTTCCTGTTAAACACTTGCATAAATCAGTAGTACTTAAATAGTTAATGTGTTAGTGCTTGTGTAGGAAGTAGCGTACTGAGGACATGAACCCAAAACCTACAAACACAGCTAAAACTTGTAGTAATCTAGGCAAGAGAGGACTCTGGGATCGTTGGAGTACTTCAAAGAACGTTATGTACATAAGAGTGCCGCAAGCAACGCCGTTAAATGACCCAATCACTAGCTGAGAGTTTTCCGGGAATGACTGATCAGTTAATACAGCAATACCAGTTCCGAATGGAGTCATAAGAGAAAATACAATCATGTAACAAATAATTTTTCGAAGTGTTTCACCTTCGTTGTGCATCTTTAACCCTAGAGCAAAGGCTATGATAAACTTGTGCACGGCTTCCGCAAAAAACAGTGACCAGGTATCTTGCACTGTTGGTTGTACACCAACAGCCAAACCCTCAAACACTGAATGAAAAGATAGGGCAGCAACCATTACAAAACTTCCAAATGAGGCTCTATGAGAAAATGCTGATGGTTGTGTTGAGCTTGAAATATTTGTCAGCTGATATTCCAAGTCTAAAGAGCCATAGTGTTTAATAGAATCACTTTCCAGTAATCCGTCCTGTGGCGACTCGCTGTCCCTCAGAGAACACGCAAAAGTAGTCGGAGACTCATCCTGATGAAGGCATTTGTTGATTGCGGCAGGCTGGCTTAGGTGTATTATTAATGTATGTATAATTTCTTCTAACAGATATATCACGAGAAATCCCGAACAAACCACCAATTCAGCTACACACATTCCTTGATCGTAATCGCTCCCCCAGTAACTTTCGAAACTGTATCGAACTTCGGGTAACAAGTGAAGAAAAGTTACGGAGAGTAACACACCACCACCAAAATTTAATAGTAAGGGCGTAATGGGGCTATTAGTGGCTTCCTCGCACATCAATGTTGGTTTTAAACATCGAGATATAAGAAGGGGAATGGTTCCGCAAATGAAAGTTCCAAAAAAAAGAAATATTAAAGTTAAAATTCGGGCGACAATTAAAAGCATTGCTTGTTTTTGTTCTCTCGGTTAGTTAAATTGAGATTGATTTTGTATTCCGTTACAAACCATGAACGCATTCACTCGCTTAACTACTGCAATAATCGCACTTTAAATAACTGAAGTTTTTCACGTGACCTTCTTCCACTTTAGAGACGCCATCTATTGGGTGTTTATCAAATAAATGTGAGGTAGCGAGTTTTAACAGTCTTTTACTGGGATTCAATTCATAAGGTAAGGTTTTTTTTCGTTTCATTCGAAATGTTCATTGCATGTTATTAAAGAAGTCATTTTGCTAAAATTACTTATAGCAAAGCTATTAATATTGCCTCGTATGTGTCTCTATTACTTGGCGAGGTTCTTAAATTTCACTGGCTGAACTGAACACAGATTTAGGTAAGAGAAATATTTTAAGAACTAGATGTACTTGCGCAGGGTCCCCAAAAGTGTTCTGTTTCAAAAGTAAATAAAACGAAATTAAGAGTAACAAATATTTTTATTTCTTGCTTTTGAAGTTCATATTTAATGCAATGGTGTGGCCTACAGAGTTCATAATTAATCTAGTGAATCGTGGTATGCGCACGTTTCACTGACGTCATGACAGCACAAATTAAGCGTCATTTGCAAATTTTGCTCCAACTAAATGTAGTGACACTGATATTATGCTTTGTCAATCGTTTTTCATAGGAATAGCTTACTAGAAATTATATAAACTAAGATAAATAAATTGTAATATTTACCGTTTATGTTTTTTCATAGCATCTAATAGAATATCACAACTTCTATGTTTTTTTCTGTATATCATCTTTATTTACTTATACAGATACAAAGCATATTCTATTTACCAAAATATTCGTATTGCTACGACAGCGGGGGTCACGTGGATCTAGTAACACGTCATATTCTCGAAGGTTCGTGAATGCTCGAGCGTTTACTAGATTTCGGTATTCTCTTGTATATAAGCCGCCAAGAACTGACGGCAACAATGCGTATTTGAACTGCAGACAGAGAGAGACCACTGTTGAGTTGAGCACGTGAGACGTTAGTTGTGAATTACAGCGTTTGTTATAGCGTGACTGTGGAAATTAAGTGTATTCCAAAGTTGTATTAAGAAAGAATAAACTAGTTTTATTTAAGAAAGGACTTGTGTCGCTAAAGTTTCATTGGAAAGAAATTATACGGGAAATTAACTAATGACCAGAGACGTAACAATATAATTTTAATGTAAACAAAATTAAAATTAATACGCACAAAATTTTGTACTATCAATAATCAAGCTTTATACAAAACTTGATATGGTGTGAAAACCTTTTACAAGCTGGCGAAGCATGATTATAATTAATCATACTTGTCATAAGATAATATCTTAGGCCTATAATGTTTATAGTTTTTCCAGTGGAACTGCAGTCAGTATTCGGATTTATAACGCTAAAATCATAGGTTCAATTCTCCTTGGTGGACAGCAGATAGCACAATGTGGCTTTGCTATAACAAAACACACACACATAATTTTTATAACGTCATATTCTTCATCTAGATCCTTAAGGATTTTCAAAATATGTGTATTTCAACCACACTATATTTCTCATATTCATTGCGACGACGCGACTTACTAAAACTGGTTTATTCTTTCTAAATACAACTTTGCAATACACTTAGTTTCCACAGTCACGCTATAACAAACGCTATTAGTTCACCCCTATTGCTGACATTCATATCTGGGATGTGACTTCTAACAGGACTGAAGATGTCTGCATTAGGGTTTAGCTGCGGGGTCTGGAAGGGGCTTGCTATTGTCTGTGGCTGATTAAGTCGATGGTTAATGTATCCGTCTTGTGTAAAAGACAATAAATCATCTTTTAATGTATTTAACTCGCTTTGAAATTTACTAATGTTTTCCATTTGTACTTCTTGCCACTGTTGTTGACTTTCCTGCAACTGTTGGAGATTTTCTTCCTGTTTCTTTTCTTGTTCTAGTTGCCACTGCTGTAATCTCTCTTCTTGTTTCTTTTCTCGTTCTTCTTGTTTCTTTTCTTTTTCCTCCAACAACTGCTGTAATTTCTCTTCTTGTTTCTTTTCTTTTTCCTCCAACCACTGCTGTAATCTCTCTTGTTTATTTTGCTGTTCGAGCTACCATTGTTGTAGGTTTTCTTGCCACTGCTGTAATCTTTCTTCTTGTTTCTTTTTCCTCCAACAACTGCTTTAATCTCTCTTGTTTATTTTGCTGTTCCAGCTGCCACTGTTGCAGGTTTTCATGCAACTGCTGTTGTCTCTCTTCTTGTTTCCTTTTCTTTTCCTCTAACAACTGCTGTAATCTCTCTTGTTTATTTTGCTGTTCCAGCTGCCACTGTTGCAAGTTTCATGCAACTGCTGTTGTCTCCCTTCT